GGAGGGCAGCCCAACCTAAGCCCTGGCGCCTCCCTCTCCCTCCCATGACACATCTCCCTCCTCCCGTAGCGCTTGGCGAAGCCCTGTTGGAATCCCGCTACTTCCACCACCACGCCGTCGTGCTGCTGGATCTCCATCAACCTCTCCTTCCCCTTGCTGGATCAATAAGGAGGAGACGTCACTGCTTCGTACGTGTGTTGAACGCGGAGGTGCCGTCCGTTCGGCGCTAGGATCATCGGTGATTTGGATCACGACGAGTACGACTCCATCAACCCCGTTCTCTTGAACGCTTCCGCGCGCGATCTACAAGGGTATGTAGATCAACTCCTCCCTCGTTGCTAGATGACTCCATAGATAGATCTTGGTGACACGTAGGAAAATTTTGAATTTATGCTACGTTCCCCAACATGGTCAAACTACTAATTCAAGAAATATTTGTGTTACTAAATAATTATTGTTTTTTAGAACGATAGTTTCAAACTCAAACAGCGAAATGTGTGACTTCATGCTCAAGCTAAACTCCTGAGGGTTAATAGGATTGACATCTTACTATTGTCAGGAAAACAACAAGTGCAGACTTAGAAACGAGGGAGAATAGAACCCGTAAGTTAAGCGTGCTCAGGCTGGGGTAGTGAGAGGATGGGTGACTGTTCGGGAAGTTAGATGGTTTGAAATCATGAGGGGTGATTAGATATTAGATGTTAAATTGAGCAGTGATGAGGGTTGATTAGAGATTAGAGGTTAAAATAATTCGGGAATTTTTTTCAAAAATAAAATTTCAAAAAATAAATAAATAAAGCATAAAAGTTTTTTTAGTACCAGTTGGTGGCACCAACCGGGACTAAAGGTGGACCTCCACGCAGCGGCCACGTGGAGGGCCTTTAGTCCCGGTTCGTATAAGAACCGGGACTAAAGGCCCTTATGAACCGGGACAAATTACCCTTTTTCTACTAGTGTTTGGCTAATTAAGCCAGACGGCATCCCTCAGCCCTAGCCACATCATTGTCCTTCCTCTCCGTGCCGCCAATCTGAGCCCATCCATTTCTCTTCGTCTCTGTGTCCCTCTTTCCTCGCCGTCCGCCAACATCATGGCCCCGTAGAAGAAGACCACTTACACTATGCTAACGCCGGGGTAGTGAGAGGATGGGTGACTGTTCGGGAAGTTAGATGGTTTGAAATCATGAGGGGTGATTAGATATTAGATGTTAAATTGAGCAGTGATGAGGGCTGATTAGAGATTAGAGGTTAAAATAATTCGGGAATTTTTTTCAAAAATAAAATTTCAAAAAATAAATAAATAAAGCATAAAAGTTTTTTTAGTACCAGTTGGTGGCACCAACCGGGACTAAAGGTGGACCTCCACGCAGCGGCCACGTGGAGGGCCTTTAGTCCCGGTTCGTATAAGAACCGGGACTAAAGGCCCTTATGAACCGGGACAAATTACCCTTTTTCTACTAGTGTTTGGCTAATTAAGCCAGACGGCATCCCTCAGCCCTAGCCACATCATTGTCCTCCCTCTCCGTGCCGCCAATCTGAGCCCATCCATTTCTCTTCGTCTCTGTGTCCCTCTTTCCTCGCCGTCCGCCAACATCATGGCCCCGTAGAAGAAGACCACTTACACTATGCTAACGCCGGAGCACCACTTCCATATCCAGGAGGAGATTCGGGCGAGGAACGCCTCCTGGATGCGGTCGGCCTGCCTCCGGACTCAAAGGAGCCGAAGGAGCAGGAGGAGGAGGAAGAGGAGGGGGAGCAGCAGCCGGAGCCCATGGAAGGGGCGGATCCGAATCCGAAGGAGGTGGCTAAGACGGAAGAGGAGTCGGCACCAGTTGCGGGCTTCACCATGGCGGAGTTTGAGGTCATCCAAGCGGCGGATATGGCGGAGCAGACCATTATCCTAGAGTCCATCCAAGATGAGGCATACGTGGAGTCCAACTGGCGTGCAAGAACATGCGAAGACTCATTTGCTTTTCAACGAGTTGGATGTAAAGATGGAGGCGGAGGCCGACGAGGAGCCAGAGTCGTGTCTGTTGCCCATGTACCCGGAGTTTCGAACAGAGATAGTGAACATCTCCGATGGCTACAAGTAGTGTCGTGTAGGTTTAGTTGATCTCCGTACTACGTACATGTTTTCTTTGCATGGTTTATATGGCTTTGAGGGATGAACTATGAGGTATTCGAATGAGAGAAGGAAACTTAAAGGCTTCCCGGTCACTGTCAGTGGACGCGTTCAGACACATTTGCAGGCGTTTGAGTGGCCAGATTTGGTATATCCGGCTATAGATGCTCTTACGTCTTCCCTAATACTCTAGGCACATATTTTCCTTCCCTTAGGCTCTTTTTGTTTGGGCTTATACAAACAAAAAATTGTAAAAACTGAATATAAACCCAAACAAACAGGGTCTTAATTACTCACAATTTATTTTTTTTGGGTTAATTGCTCACTACTTGTGTTGACTTTATTTATAAAGCGGGGTGAAAGTCAAGGTTTATTAACTAAAAACATTGTTCACTAGTTATGATGTATTTTTTAATAAGATTGCACCATGCGTTGTGTTTTCTAATTTCACGACAAGACGACTCCCTTTTTTGGGAAATATTTGGTCGTAAATTGTTATGGCACCTTGTACAGGATTTTGCTGATTCATCCAAGTACGTCCCTTGGAATGCCCTTTCAATTTGTATGCCTGATGACCTAATAATTCTATTTATCAATATACACTCGTTACAAGTAACATGGATCGAAGAGAGTAAAAGAATAATTACAGTTACTTCAAAAAGATTATGCAGACATGGATGGATGTATTTTACACATGTTAAAAATGTTTATGAAAGGATACATTAGTTTGTAGGCCGCAAATGAAAATATAAAATTGTGGTACGCGAAGCTGTGATTTGGTCCAGATATTTGTTTTCCTATATGTACACCACAGATGAGAACACTGTTGAGAAAATCGTTAACTGGTAGCTGCTCGGTTGGCTAGCGAGTAGGGGATTAATCGGCTAATCGGCAAATTAATCGGCCATTTAATCAATTAATCGGACGATTTTTTGGTTTATCGGCTACTCGATGACCCTACGAGTAAGGATTAATCGGCAAGTTAACTGGTTAATCGGATGAATTCTTGAACAGTGGATGAGAAGATTCGCCGATGTATTAAATGCATACACGCTATGGTGGATATCTATATTTTCTGTATGAAACATTGATTTTCACCATTATTTCTGAAAAAGAGCTAGCCAGGAGCTGTTTTAACTCTTGTGAGTATATAAAAACAGCTCAGACGTACGTGCTACGGCCGACATGTTGCTTGACGTGGAGCCGGCCGATCTAGGACCGGTCCACTTGAATCTCATCCCAGGGTTCACATGGGTGTGTCTGCATCACGTGCAATAATCCAATCTACTCTGGCTCACTCACTCTAACGCGCAGTAGCCAGCCAGCCAGCTGCTCCCTCTCTTCTTCCTCCATCCTTGCTTTCCCTCTAGCTAGCAACCTTGTCGTGTTGCACGCCCGTGCAATCCAGCCTATACACTCCTCACCTCGTTTAATATCACCTTGACGTTTGTCTGTCTGCAATCCGTGTATACAATTTGACTACATCCTCGACGTCGGTCTGTCTGCTTCCACTACTTCCTCTACGCTAGACGACCACCTTGTCTTGAACACCATCGTCTATACTACTCCTTCCGTTTCAAAATAAACGACCTAACTTTATACTAACTTTATAGAGTCTACAAAGTTAGTATATAATTGGGTTATCTATTTGGAAACGGAGAGGGTACATCTTTAACGTTTGCCCGCGTGCTTCCACTTATATTTCTCTACGGCGGACGATGGCCGACTATGTTGTTGCATGGGAGTTCCGGTGAATTTATATGTTCTGAACCTTTCTCTGTTGGCACGCGTCTTTGGTCCATGTGAGTATATATCAAATGTTCCTCCTAGCTAGTCCCTGTCTATGCGGTTTGCCGTACAAGCAATCATGTGATGTTGCTAATTTAATTAGATCAAGATTATAATCAAAAACTGCCTGATATCCGAACAAAGACCTCACCTCATTTTGAAGAGAGAAGAAGCAAAGACCCTCTACCGTTGCTGCCTCAATGATTTGCCTCCGGCAGGCTACAGCTAGCTGCATTTTTATGGCACGCCGGCCCCATTCAGAAAAACGACCACACGGAGGTCTCTCTCTGCTCATCACGCACGTTGCTTTCTTCCCGTCTCTGTACTGTATGAATGTACACGCAGCAGCTGGCCCCGTTTCACTACCGAGAGAGAGAGAGAGAGAGAGAGAGAGAGAGAGAGAGAGATTGAGTGAGAAAGAGAAACTTAATTTGCTCCCTCCGTCTCTCTGAAAAGTATCTTTGGAAGCAAGATCCCATACTCTGGCTGGAAGCTGAGCTTATATATACGGCCAGCATCTCCTCCCCTCCTCAGAAGCAACGCCACACCATCTACCTACCTACGTGCGCCAGCTGCTAGCTTGGTGCTTGCGTAGTGTTCAGTGAGCAAGAGATCGATGGAAGCAAATAAGCCTCGGCAGCAGCAGGAGGAGGAGGAGCACAAGGCCATGAGCAAGGAGCAGACGGCGATGAAGGCCGTCTCCGAGGAGGCCGGGTCGTCGTCCTCGGACGCCGGCGACGGCGAGGAGGAGGCGGGCGCCGTCCACAACCACCGCGGATGGAAGGCCATGCCGTACGTCATAGGTGATTTACCTGCCTGCTCCCTTTGATTTTCCCTGCATGCTCATGTCACGCTCAAATCTTCTCCTTGCATCTCTCGCCCTGCTCACTAGTAGCTAGCCATTGGACCCTGCTGAACTTGCTACTGTTTTCTCCTTCTTGTTCTTGTGCCAATAATCCAGTTCGTTGTTTACGGCCGAAAAGGCAAACAGTAAAGGCAGGAGTACGTAGGGACGGATGATGACAATAATTCAGTTAGTTGTTTACCTTTGCTTGCTACTAGTTGTTGCTAGCTAACGACATATTGCCATGGCGTGCCGTGGCAGGCCAACATGTGCCCTCCTTTTGCTTTGCTTTGCCTGACGATCGACGAGTGCCCACAATTCCATGAAAACGAGCTCTCATGCCATGTGTATGGTGATGTGTCTGCACCCAGCCAACAGTTCCAACAAAGCTGCTTTTCGCAACAACAAAAAAGGTCCAAGAAGGCTGCTAGCTATATATCTGCCCATGCCATGTATATCTCCTCCTCATTCCTCACCACTAGCGCACTTAAAAACAGTTTAAAACATATTCACATGTACATATAGATATGAACGATGTATACGTGTAAAATTTCATTAGTAAATCTTCTCACGCGCACAAAATGGGAAAACATGTGCGTGAAAATGGGATGTATATGCATACTACTATGTATTATGGATCCACACATTTCTCTTTCTTGTGTAGCTAAAAGTTTCAGAATTTACCCACACAAAACAGAACTTTTTTTTATACTAGTGTAGTGCAAAAAACGCTTGCAAAAAGATGCTAAACACTCGTATAACACACTAAGCCAAGAAATCACCAGTAACAAAAAAAAAGTTAGCGCGCCAGGTAGGGGTCGAACCTACGGCCTTCCGCTTAGGAAACGGACGCTCTATCCACTGAGCTACAGGCGCTGCTATGCCTCCATTTTACTTTTCTGGTCGAACACCGTTAGTTTTTTGAATTTAATCTGAGCTAGTCAAACTGAGTGAATGTGGATTTGTAATCGCAGGGAACGAGACGTTCGAGAAGCTCGGGACGATCGGCACGCTGTCGAACATGCTGGTGTACCTGACGACGGTGTACCACATGCCGAGCGTCAACGCCGCCACCCTCCTCAACGTATTCTCCGGCACCAGCAACCTCGCCACCGTCCTGGGCGCCTACGTCAGCGACACCTACCTCGGCCGCTACACCACCATCGCCGCCGCCACCATGTCCTCCTTCGTCGGCATGCTCATCCTCACGCTCACGGCCGCCATCCACACCCTCCACCCTCCCGCGTGCAGCGCGTCCAAGGGGCAACAGTGTGAGGGCCCCACTGGGTCCCAGCTCGCCGCCATCCTGGTGTCCTTCTTCTTCCTGGTCGTCGGTGCGGGAGGCATCCGGCCATGCAACCTCGCCTTCGGGGCCGACCAGTTCAACCCGCGCACCGCCGACGGTCGTCGCGGCATCGCCAGCTTCTTCAACTGGTACTACTTCACCTTCACGGTCGCCATGATGCTCTCGGCAACCGTCATCATCTACCTCCAGAGCAACGTTAATTGGGCGCTAGGGCTCGCCGTGCCCGCCGCGCTCATGGGCCTCTCATGCGCCGTCTTCTTCATGGGCACGCGCCTCTACGTCCGTGTACGCCCCGAGGGCAGCCCCTTCACAAGCTTCGCCCAAGTCCTCGTCGCCGCAGCCCGCAAGCGCCACCTCCGTCGGGCTCGCGGCGACGCCGAGCTGTTTGACCCACCGCACCAGAGTAAGCTCGTCTCCAAGCTGGCATACACCGACCAGTTCGCGTGCCTCGATAAAGCGGCCGTGCGGACCCCCGACGACGCGTTGTGCGTCGACGGGAAGACGCCGGCAGACCCATGGCGGTTGTGCACGCTGCAGCAGGTGGAGGAGGTCAAGTGCCTGGCGCGCATCATTCCGGTGTGGTCGTCGGGGATCGTCTACTTCATCGTGCTCACCCAGCTGGGCACCTACGTCGTGCTCCAGGCCGCGCAGATGGACCGCCGGATCAGCAAGTCCAGCAGCTTCCAGATCCCGCAGGGCTCCTTCGTCGTCTTCCAGATGCTCGCCCTCACGACGTGGATCCCTGTCTACGACCGGTTCGTGGTGCCGGCGCTCCGCCGCTTCACGAAGCGCGAGGGCGGCATCACCCTGCTCCAGCGGATCGGCGTCGGGTTGGCGTTGTCCGTGGCGACGATGGTGGTCTCAGCGGCCGTGGAGCAGCGACGACGGAAGGTCGGCTCGTCGATGTCGTGCTTCTGGCTGGTGCCGCAGCAACTGCTGGCGGGCCTGTCGGAGGCGTTCGGCGCCATCGGGCAGATTGAATTCTACTACCGGCAGTTCCCGGAGAACATGCGGAGCGTGGCGGGGGCGCTCTACTTCCTGGGGTTCGCCATGGCGAGCTACGCAAGCGGGCTGATGGTGATGGTGGTGCACCGGGCGACGCGCGGGCGGGACGGTCAGCCTGACTGGCTGGCGCAGGACCTGGACGAGGGTAGGGTGGACCTATTCTACCTGGTCACCGCCGCCATCGCCGCCGTGAACCTCGTCTACTTTGTGATCTGTGCACGGTGGTACAGGTTCAAGAAGTCCGACGATGCCGGCGCCGGAGATGTGGAGCTCGACGACGACGGCCCGAAGAAGGCTGGCGCTGGTTTAGCTTAGTTATTATTGCCTCCTTTTGGGGCTTAATATACTCCGATGCGTGCATAGAATGGTAGAGTCTAATGGATATATGTGCATATGTATGCTCATCGATCGATCCCGGTGAATCTATGTAATAGAGATTTGGAATCAATCAAAACAGAACAGGGGAGATTGAATAGCAGCAAAACACAACACTACGTCTCCTGTGAACATGTGTATCCCGCACGGACACACAAACTGGAGTATCTTGCCTCATGATTACCTGCATCCGTCATTGATGCAATCCATGTAAACTACATACAGATATAGTGACAATTGAGCGGTTTCATCAATGGGTCTCTCTATGTCACATCTAGATGTGAGATATTATCTCACATCTAAGGTGACATCATCATGTAATATGTCCCCACTTGTTGACAAACAACCAGCATGGTTGCTTCCGATCACCCCGCACAATTGGCGCTTGTTTGTTTGTGGCGGCCTGTTTGTTTGTATGTGGGCCGCCCACCTCTTCCAGTACAACTACCCCCACACCCTGGGCCTTTTTGTGTTGGGCTTGTTTGTTCGTTTGTCTGACATGAGAGAAACTGTCCTTGTAGATCCTTTGTAGATCCCTTTTTGATTGTAAAACCTTGGGAAATTGGTTTGGTTACCAAGATCATGTGCGCCTGTAATATCCTTCTCTTTTTCTATGAAACATATGCTAGTCCTCATCTGTGGGAAAAACACACACCAGACTATCAGAGGTCAACTAACGCATGCTGAAGTTCAGAAAAAATCAGATCAAGTAACTTGCGAAGCAGACCATAGGTACAAAGAACACACAGACATCATTATGTTTGACCCAAGCACACTATGATTTAGTTTCAGAAAACACATAGTTAGCACAAGTGTTATTTAGTTTCAGAAAAATAATTGTTCTGGCCCTAAGAAACTGAACATAGAAAAACTGCATTTTACTGTCTTTTGCATGGTCAGATAGGTTGTTTGTTTTTGATATGTTCAGCTTAATACGTGTGTTGACTGAATAATGGTAATAATCAAACAACTCCTTGTTCCAGTTTATTCAGAGTGCGTTTGTTTCCATTTATCTAGAGAGAAACTACTTTGAAAAAGAAAAACAAGTCCTAGTACTAAAGTAGAATAATCCATGAGAAACAGAACAGTGTAGGACAAAAAATGCTAGCCTGATACCCCTAAGGAAAATAACTTATGGATGTGCTCCTCCATTTTCATACAAACTTTGGTGCGAATAGAGTATAATATTAAAATGTTGTACAAAGAATGCATTCATACAGGAGACTACATTGGAACTGAGGTATGATTCTCTTATTCACAAAGAACGCATGGGACCATTACAAAAAATTGACAGCAAAAAAAATATAGTTGAAACTTACTGATGAATTTTGATTGCATCCTGTGCAATCCCAGTACCCAGCGGTGATGTTTGAACCAAGGCTTTTTCAATGGAAGACAGTGGACAGCAATACCTGCAAATGACTCCACCTTACTCGTTCACCACTCCAGTTTATGAGTTGGCAACACCATCGAATGCTGCTCTGAATCTTGTGAGTAATAGATCAAACCCACTTGCTGGTCAACATGTTGGCCGTTTTGTGCAGCAGAAAGAAGATGTAAGTTGGTTTATTGTTTTGGATCAAATAAAAATAGTAAAGGTGCTTTTGAAGAAAAAATCATGAAATTTATGTTCTCTGTCTAGTTGGTATGAACCGTATCTATTTCAAAATTTTAACCCCCATGAACTAATAAAAAATTGCAGGTATTGGCGTTGAATGAAGGCTTCGGCAGGAACATGTCATACACAGAAATGCTACTAGCTGCTGACTCTAAGGTTTGAACAAATACACATCTAGGGTGTAGCACTTCAAAAATTCTATCCTACTTATGTGGTTCATATAACAAAAGCAGATGATTGAAAAATAAAAAGAGTGGGCTTAACTTTGTTTTGTGTTGTGCAGGCTGCATTTTTTGGTTGAGCACACACAGATCATTATCCTGTTGGTGCTGAGGTATTATCAGGAAACTGGAAACTTCTGTAAACATTAGGACAAAAAAAGTGTTAAAAAAATACAACACTTAACTAAAAAAACTTATGTTGGAAGACCAATAATAGTAGCAAAAAACATCTATGTCGAATAGGAAAATTCGTATTGTTGTTTTTGTCCAACAAAATTGCAGAATGAAACATTCATGTTGACTGGACCGAGTACAAGGCTAAGTGAGCAAAATATGAAACAAAAACTACGGGACCACAATTGCGAGTCGATGGTGGACTTGCAACAGGGGCTATTACAACTAGACAAACACCATAGTTGCGAGTCGAGGGTCGGCTTGCAGGTAGCATCAAACAAAGAACCCGTTTGCAAAGTCGAGGGTCAACTTGTAAGTGGTATCAAACAAAAAGACCCAATTGCAAGTCGAGGGTCGACTTGCAAGTGGCATCAAACAAAAAAACCTAGTTGCAAGTCGAGGGTCGACTTGCAAGTGGCATCAAACAAAAAAACCTAGTTGCAAATCGACTTGCAAAGTGGAAATGAAACAAAAACTATGGACCCACAATTGTGAGTCGATGATGGACTTGCAACCGGGGCTATTACAACTACACAAACACCACAGTTGCGAGTCGAGAGTTGACTTGCAAGTGGAATGAACTAAAGAACCCGGTTGCAAAGTCGAGGGTTTACTTGCAAGTGGCATCAAAACAAAAAACCTAGTTGCAAGTCAAGGGTCGACTTGCAAGTGGCACCAAAGAAAAACCCTAGTTGCAAGTTGAGGCTTCACTTGCAAGTGGAAATGAAAACAAAAACTACAGGCCCACAATTGTGAGTCGATGGTGGACTTGCAACTGCGGCAATTACAACTAGAGAAACACCACAGTTGCGAGTCGATTGTCGGCTTGCAAGTGGCATCAAACAAAGGAACCCAGTTGTGAGTCGAGGGTCGAATTGCAAATGACATAAAATAGAAGACCCAGTTGCAAGTCGAGGGTCGACTTGCAAGTGGCATCAAAACAAAAAACCTAATTGCAAGTCGAGGGTCGACTTGCAAGTGGCGTAAAAAATAGAAGACCCAGTTGCAAGTCGAGGGTCGACTTGCAAGTGGCGTAAAAAATAGAAGACCCAGTTGCAAGTCGAGGGTCGACTTGCAAGTGGAATAAAACTAAAGACCCAATTCCCAGTCAAGGGTCGACTTGCAAGTGGCATCAAACAAAAAAAACTAGTTGCAAGTCAAGGCTTCACTTGCAAGTTGGAAAATGAAAAAAAAGTGCGGGTCCACAATTGCGAGTCGATGTTGGACTTGCAACTAGGCTATTACAACTAGACAAATACCATAGTTGCAAGTCGATGGGCGGCTTGCAACTGGGGCTATTACAACTAGACAAGCACCACAGTTGCGAGTCGAGGATCGACATGCAAGAGGCTTCAAACAAAGAACCCGGTTGCAAGTCGAGGGTCGACTTGCAAGTGGCATCAAACAAAAAGACCCAGTTGCAAGTCAAGGGTCGACTTGCAAGTGGCATCAAACAAAAAACCTAGTTGCAAGTCGAGGCTTCACTTGCAAAGTGGAAATGAAAACAAAAACTGCCGGCCCACAATTGCGAGTCGATTGTGGACTTGCAACTAGGGCTATTACAACTAGAGAAACACCATAGTTGCGAGTCGATTGTCGGCTTGCAAGTGGCATCAAACAACAAAAACCATTTGCGGGTCGAGGGTTGACTTGCAAGTGGCATTAAACAAAACACCCAGTTGCAAGTCGACGGTCGACTTGCAGGTGGCATCAAAACAAAAGACCCAGTTGCAAGTCAAGGGTCGACTTGCAAACGGCATCAAAACAAAAAAGTCAAGGGTCGGCTTGCAAGTGGCATCAAACAAAAAACCAAGTTGCAAGTCGAGACTTTACTTGCAAGTTGGAAAATGAAAAAAACTAGGGGCCGACAATTGTGAGTCAATATGGTGGAGTTGCAAATGAGGCTATTGCAACTAGACAAACACCACAGTTGCGAGTCGAGGGTCGACTTGCAACTGGGGCTATTACAACTAGACAAACACCACAGTTGTGAGTCGGGTGTCGACTTGCAAGTGGCATCGAACAAAAAACCCGGTTGCAAGTCGAGGGTCAACTTGCAAGTGGAATTAAAAAAAACCCAGTTGCAAGTCAAAGGTCAACTTGCAAGTGGCATCAAACAAAAACCCTAGTTGCAAGTTGAGGCTTCACTTTGCAAGTGGAAGTGAAACAAAAACTATGGGGCCACAATTGTGGGTCGATGGTGAACTTCGAAGTCAGGATATAAAAACTAGAGAAATACCACAGTTACGAGTCGATTATCGGCTTGGAAGTGGCATCAACCAAAGAACCCAGTTGCGAGTCGACGGTCGACTTGCAAGTGGCATAAAACGAAAGGCCCAGTTGCAAGTCAAGGGTCAACTTGCAAGTGGCATTAAACTTGCAAGTGGCCCAGTTTCCAGTTACGGGTGGAGGGTTGACTTGCAAGTGGCATTAAACAAAACACCCAGATGCAAGTCGAAGGTCGACTTGCAAGTGGCATCAAAATGAAAGACCCAGTTGCAGGTCGAGGGTCGACTTGCAAACGACATCAAAACAAAAAACCTAGTTGCAAGTTGAGGGTCGACTTGCAAGTGGCATACAAATAGAAGAACCAGTTGCGAGTCGAGGGTCGACTTGCAAGTGGCATAAAACCAAAGACCTAATTGAAAGTCAAGGGTCGGCTTGCAAGTGGCATCAAACAAAAAACCAAGTTGCAAGTCAAGACTTTACTTGCAAGTTGGAAAATGAAAAAAAACTAGGGGCCGGCAATTGGCAGTCGATGGTGGAGTTGCAAATGGGGCTTTTACAACTAGACAAACACCACAACTGCGAGTCGAGGGTCGGCTTGCAACTGGGGCTATTACAACTAGACAAACACTACAGTTGTGAGTCGAGTGTCGACTTGCAAGTGGCATCGAACAAAAAACTCGGCTACAATTCGAGGGTCA